GCTGCTTTGGTCATCCAGGAAAGGAAAAGGCTGGATGCTGATCCAGTAGTTATTTAACACGAATAAAGCAGAGGCTTGAATAGTGCTGATTGTCTAAAACATTGCAGTATGGAGTAATGCAGTCACGTGTGTTCAACTCCAGGATCAGTAGGAGTGCATTATCATCTGCATTCTGTGTTCAGTCCTCTGATTCTAAATCTCTAAATCAACTCGTAGTCTGGTAATTAAGGCACCCTGCCTGCAAGTGAGGACACTTGTGCTCAGGCTGCGTACGTTTTGCCCAGTCTGGATGTGCATCCTGAACACTGTGCCCTTTGTGCAATATTTTCCTAAAGGCTGCAATTTGTATGAAGACTTGAATACTCCATTTCCTTGCATGACATTTAAGTTACCATTTACCTACTCCATTCTGGACAATTTATAGGAATTTTTAAGACTGTCAAAATAAAGCTGGTTATTTAGATATGAATATTTACACTACCTGAAATCCTGCGAGAGGGGGAACAGTTAAGATGTTTCTTCAGTCAGGATCTGTGGCGGTCTGTGAGGCAATGAATACTTTTGGAAATGTAGAAATGGTTGCACCTCCCTTCTCTTCCCAACATCCTCTTCTTGTATTAATGTGCCTGTTCCCTCATTTATTCCCATTTCTTTTCTCCATCACTGGCTTTCAGAATTTTAGAGAGAGATGAAGGGAGAGAGGTCAGTTCAAAACCACTGATAGTTGGTGCATGTCCTGAAATGTGAAGCCCAGCATGCCCTTTTCCCAGTGGTGCCCTTCTCAACCTTTCTGCAAGTATGTAGGAATTGCAGAAAAGAATATAGTCACAGTGCCCTGACAAGGGCTGTACTGAAATAATTCTACAGTTTCCTCGTCTTTTTACTCTATGAACTAGGGAATTAAGAGAAACTAATCTCAAAGATTTGGCTGAAAAGGAGTACTAAAGTAGGCTGTTAGTGTCATTCATACTGTCATTCAGCCTGATGACCTACAGGCCCTGCACTGTGCTGAGCTTATTATCTTCTAGGAATGGAGGAAGTTTGCAAAGCTGCTTGGAAGCTCTGCTTGTAATTATTTTATTTACTGAAACTGTTTGTTTTGTAGTAGAGAGCAGAAGTAGCAGATTGTATGAAATCAGAGATCAGTGAAGATATAATGCAAGACAGTTATCTGTATATAGGCATTTATTTTAACCAATGTAATTAGCAATTCCAGTTTTTATCTACTTGACTTGGATTAAAGGCATCAATCCATTCCCTTTGCAGTCATTATCTATATCTTCTACTACATGTATGGTTACTTAGGAGTGCCTTAGGAGTGTCCTCTGCCCACAGTTATGACACATGCAGAGTACACCAGTTACCAGCATGCAGTCAACCTGTGTGGAAGAACATTAGTATAAAGAGTACATATTTAGAACTAGAATTAAATGTTTATGTTGCTTGCACTTTGAGTCTAATTGATACATACACAGTGCAGGGTTTCAGGAGTGACATAAATGCTTATCTTTTTTCACATGTTCTCTCTCTAAGTATGCATATTTTTCATACCTGGAGTATCCATCTCATTTTCTTTCTTCAGAAATCTATTGAACGCTATTATGTTTAGTTATTTGGTTAAGAAATGTTCTTGCTACATATCTGAAACTGTCATTACCTGTTTGGTTGAATATTTAGGAGAAGTAAGAAAGCAGTTAATAGTGATAATTACTGTACTACAAACTACAAAGATTGGCCAAAAATACAGGAAAATTACAAAAGGGTGCCCAAACTGTGTGGACACTCTGTGGTATCTACTGCAAGATCCTGTTTAGTAAGAGTAGAGTTTCAAAGGGGAGAAAATATGGGAAAGAAAAGGTGCTCTTGGTTTTGCTGTGCCACGTGGAGGAGAGGAAATAATGGCTTACTGTAAACAGAATGGTAGAAACAACGTGTTGCATCAAAACCCCTGCCTGACTTACTGGCCACAAGTAGGTTGGTCTCTGACAAATGGTCATTAAAAGTTTTCTGATAAAACAAGTCTCTTCTCGGGCATTCTGATGAAGTCATTTCATCCTCAGCTTTCTCAGTGTGGATGTGAGGTTGTATCTTTCTGTCTATTCTGTTGTTGTACTCCTGTACCTGTGATCAATTTACTCTGTAGTTTGGTACATCTAGGCATTCACACTTAAGCCTGGTTAAAAAACAGTACAATTTAAAATCAGTACTAGACTAAGTCCAGTTACAGTTTTTTACTCTGTGGGAAGTTCCATTCAGCATTGTCCTACAAGAGAGGAAAGGAGAATTAGCATCACAGTGGTTGCAATAGACCTGTAAGTGACTGGAGTATAAATAATATTTAAGAAGGGATTTTCTTGTTCCAGTTACTGATGGTAAAATAAAAACCAAAGTATAATAAATACCAAAGTATTGATTCATTTGCATTTTAGTTCTAAAATAGGTTGTATTGTTGCTGTTTTTTTCTGTATCTGAGCCTTGAGTACTAAAAATACACCAGCACTGTAACATTCCTTGTCTTTATCATTCCGTACTCTCTCTGCCGTTTCTGCTTGTTGTGGGTCAGTCTACCACAGAGGTGGGCACTACTGTGAAACTCATGAAGAACAAGGAGATTGAGAGTAGTCAGGATTGATATATGAAGGGGAAGTCATGCTTAGCCAGCCTGATTGCCTTCTAGGATGAGCCAGCTAGCCTCTTTGATGAGGGGAGAATACTCAATGTTTACCTTGACTTTAGAAACTATGTTTAATACTCCTTCCTGTAAGGCTGCCTGAAAGCCTGCCAGGCTGACAAATGACGGGATGGATAAGTGAGCCCAGCCAGGCCCAGAGAGTTGTGATCAGTGGCACGAAGTCCAGCTGAAGGTGAGTCTCTAATGGTGTAGTCCAGTGGTTAATACCAGTGTCAGTACTATTTTTACATTCATTAGTGACCAGGATGCTGAAATAGAGCATCACCCTCACCAAGTTTGCAGACAACATAGAACTTGGAGGAGTAGATGATACACCATCCAACCAGAAGGATTTTGCTGCCATTCAGAAGGACCTGAACAAACTGGAGAATTCCAATTCTTAACTTTTTTATTATTATTATTAAGGTTTTACTCACCATATGCAAGCGTTTATCCTCAAGTCCTTGCTATGCTGACTATTCCATCCTGACAATAACTTCTTTGTGTTTTTACTTTACTTTTATTGTGTAGTTTTCACTTGCGTGCTTTTCCACACCTTAGTACATTTCTTTGTAAAGCTGAGTCAGCAGCATGCAGCTGGGCTGAACCAAAGTGAGTCCTCAGTGACAGACAGCTGAACCCTGAGCTGGGGGTTACAGATGAGGGAGGGCACTGAATTTAGAGGCAGCACAGTGTACAGAGAAGAAGGCGTAGATATACTTTGTTGGGTGGAGGTATATTTCCAAATAGACTATCTTTTGTTGAGGTATAGGGTGAGCTGTAATTTAAGGTGGAATTTTGGTAGGAGTATATGTTTTTACAGTACTTCCCTCCAGCATGCAGATCTTGTTGATTGAAATAATGTTCTCTCACATGTAGTAGCTGGATATCGTAATGGCTACAAAACTTTACGCAATTCCTGTAGGCCAAGGAAAGCACACCTGCTGCCCTCCTAAGCTAATGGAAGAAACTGATGTTATTGATACAGCATTGGATGTTTGGAAGTCACTCTTTTGGGCTGTTTGCTCTGGTCAAACTTTTATTTCAGCCCCTTCCAAGGGGGGCTGATAGTGCAATAAGCAGCGGTTAAAAGTGGAAAACTGATTGCTTACAGTGAAAGCAAGTTCAGATCACAGAATCATAGAAGTTGGAAGAGGCCTCTTGGAGATCATCCATCCCCTGCTAAAGCAGCTTCCTACAGCAGGTTGCACAGAAAAGCATCCAGGCAGGTCTTGAATATCTCTAGAGAAGGAGACTCCATAAGCTCTCTGGGTTGCCTGTTCCAGTGCTCTATCACCCTCAAAATAAAGAAGTACTTCCTAGTGTTTTTATTGAATTTTCTGCATTGCAGTTTTTGGCCACTGCCCCTTTTGCTGCACACCACTGAAAAGAGTCTGTGCCTATTCACTTGACTCCTGGACTTTAGATATTTATAAACAATGATGAGATCCACCCTTCACTCTTTTCTTCTCCAAGCTGAACAGTCTGTGGTCTCTCAACCCTTCTTCCTATGGGAGATGCTCCAGGCCCCTAATCAACTTTGCAGCCCTCTGCTGGACTTTCTTCAGCAGTTCCCTGTCTTTCTTGAACTGAGCCCAGAACTGGGCACAGTACTCCAGATGTGGCCTTACCAGGTCAGAGTAGATGGGGAGGATCACCTCGCTCAACTTGCTGGCCTCACTCTTTTTAATTCACCCCAGAATACCATTGGCCACCTGGGCCACAAGCGCACACTGTTGGCACATGGCCAGTCTGTTGTCTACCAAGATACCCAGCTTTTTTTCCTCAGAGCTGTTTTCCAGCAGGCTAACCCCTGATGTGTACTGATGCATGCAGTTATTCCTCCCCAGGTGCAGTACCCTATGCTTTTTCTTGTTGAAGCTCATTGGGTTCCTCTCCACCCAACTCTCCAGCCTGTCCAGGTCTTGCTGAATGGCTGTTCAGTCTCCTGGCCTGTCAGCCACTCCTCCCAGTTTCATATTGTCAGCAAACTTGCTGAGGATGCACTCTATTCCTTTATCTAGATTATTGGTGAAGATGTTGAACAAGACTGGGCAAATGCCTTAACTCTGTTATCTCATCACAGGCTTTGATTTGATTTGGTGTGTCTAGTAAATGTCTAGGATAACATGTTGAACAACAGTGTTTTCAGTGTTGTATGAAATCTAGTGGGAGTAAGACACTGGTTTATTAGAGTGTTTCAGAACTTTGTCATTAGTGGTGATGTGATGGTTGGTTTGAAACACCAAAAGTGGAAATGTGTGTCAGCCATTCATTGTATAGGATGCTCTAAAAGTGTTAGGTGATTTAGAATCTTGCATAGCACAAACACAGTTCCAAATTCATTTATTATTGTAAATGTAGATCATGGGAAAATAATGAAGTGAAACATGCATAAAAATCTTACTGGTGTTTCTGTCAATACCGGGACTATCTTAGCTGAAAGGCACTCATAAGTTACAAATCATACATTTATCAATGATCCAGGTAGCAAGGAAACTGTGCAGATGTTAGCCAGGAAACAGATACAATTACATTAAATTGAAAATAGAATGCAGATTTGAATTGTTTAGATCACATTTCAATAAGAGGTAGCAATAAGGCATGTTGCTGTAGTTTTCTTGGTCTTATTGCTGGTTGGGATGCTTATCAACCTCAGTCTTGAGCGTTCAGAGAAATAAAGACAAAATGCAAGGTGATCAGAGTTTAGCAATTATACATCAAGCATTTGCTTTCTATGAAAGGCAATTTCATTGGCATAATGGAAAGGAGCAGTAGAGAGACAATCTTTGAGGCACATGGTGGTGTCTGGGTGCTGCCTTACTTAAGAAAAAAGACATATATTTCCAGTACTTATGGCTATACGTTGAAGGCTGAGCTTTTAACACTACAGTTCACGTTTTTCGTTTGAAAAGTGAACTTTGGATCCCTCTGGAAATGAGGAATAATTCATTCTACTGGGCAGCAGAGTCTGCCAAAAAACAGGATCGTTTTGGATTTGTTGTGTCTGATGAAGAAGTGGAAAGGGTGATCAGCCTTAAATGTCAGAGCATAGTTGATAGCTGTAGCTGTTAATGATACAATTACAGCAGTAGCAGCAGCTGCCTCAGTGCCTTTCTCATCAACTGCAACAAAAGACTGATGAACGACTTTGGAAATACACAAATCCCTCTTATCAGTCATCCCTCTGAAATCAGCTTGGAAGCTGAAGGCACTTGTCATTCCCATGTTCTTCAGAGTATCATGGAGGTCATATCTGTCCTCCAGTGAGAACTTAGGCAGGTGCAGATCTACAAGAGTTTCTGTCATCTTCTTTGAATCAGCCCATTCCGACAGCTTCTCATAGGTGAGTTCTCTTTCCAGCTAGTGTTTAAGAAATAAGAGGAATTCGATAATTGCAAGGATAAACCAATAATTAATAAACCAATCATTAATTATGATTGTCTTTTTTTTAAATCAAATTTTTTAAACAGTTTTTTAAATGGCATATTTAACATTCAGCTGAAAAACATGAAATATAAATTGCTTTCACTGATGACCAGAGAATAGGCTGCAAAGCAAATGTGAGGCATAATGCTACAAGTTTTTGAGTGCTATTTCTGCCAAATTAATTGCAGAAGAAAGAAAGGGCCATATGGTTATCAGTCTGTCCTTGCTCTGATGACTGAGTGGTGATACAGAATGGGTGTAGCATAACTTCTTACCTGCTCAAGACCAGTAGTGCCATCTTTGATGTCATCAGGAAGTAGGATGAACATACTGAGTTCACGTTTCACATATGGAAGCTCAATCATTTTGAAGTTCATTTTTTCCATTATAAGAACTGGAAATGTGTTTTTCATATACATCATCTTCACGAGCTTGGACTTGTTCTGTAAGGTATTTATTTGTCGGTTAGAAATTATTCTTTGAAAAAAGGAATCCCTTGTAAAGAGGAAACTTTCACAAGCAGCTTTTGTAACAGAGATTTGACATTCTTTTTCCAAGGCTTTTCTTGACTGGACAATATTGCTGATCTTATCTCTTGTCCCAGAGTATTTTGCTGGGGACTGAGCTAACTGATTTTCTCTTTTCCCCAGAACATGCACATCAGCCCACAGAGGAGAAAGGAAGGGAGCCAGAAATGTCAGCAAGAATTAGGGGGACAGAGCATTCATGGCATACAGCCACTCAACACTAAAGCAGCGAAACAACTACGGTGTAAGAGGATAAATGTTGTGCAGCCTTTTTGTGATCTCTCTCTGGCAACATTACCTCTAGTCTCACTCAGCCATGCACCCATCCTGTGGAGCTGTGCTGCTGCAGCTGTATTCACAGTTGGATTGTGCAGCACAAAGGTGTGGGTACTGCACTCACCCATAGCATGGCATGCAGTTCCTGTCCAGGAAGCACGGACTCTCAATATCTGATTTTTACAATCTAGCCCTTATATCTCAGTTTTGCAAAAAGGCTTTAAGTGACTCTAGCATTTTTGGAAACTGTGTTCTGTCTGGATCTAGTTATCCTTTGCCTGAGCAGCATCTTAATTTTCATAAATGTTGGTGAGCTGACCACTGACACATTTTGCTGTAAACAACTTTTCAGAGAGTCTATTTACCAAGGAATGCCTAAAGGGTGGATGAAATAAAAGGTGGTAACAGTAGGTGCATAGTCCAGTCTGCTTGCTGTAAGGAGGGCACCGGAGGAGCTTACCTTGCTCAGTCGGAAGGGTTGCATAGATGTGTGTCCTGCCTGAAATTTCACTTCCCATTCTGCCTTGAAATAAATGGCATTGACTAAGATTAACTTGGTTATGCTTTTCACATCATCCGAACTCAGCAAATTCTCGATTTTACCTTTTAAAATCAGAAAAGTCAGGCTTTACTCCAGTGTAACAAAGTGAGGACACGTTTTGATTCTTTATTCGCTCTGTTCAACTCCTTCCTGAAAAAATGCAAGCCTCAGTGCCCTACTCCCTGAATTACTTCCCTGACATAAACCAGTTAGTCTGTTTGCTGTTTGATGCCCAGTTCTCCTGGCTAGCTGACAGCAATTGGCTCCTGCCTGAAAAAATGCCACAGTTTCATGGCAAGCAACTAGAAGCAGACAGCCATTTACTGCCCACACCAGGAGGCATGACCTGGATGCTACAGCTACAAGTGTGGGAACAGGGTCCCGAAGGGAGCAGCAGGAAGAGGAAGGATGTTGGGGTCGAGCTCAACTTACTCTCAGTTTGTTTTTCCACCCAGGTGTTGATTTCCTTTCTGGTTTGTTCCGGTGCTGTCTTAAAGTTAACCTTCTTTGGCTCTGCCTTGTAGTATTTCTTACTGAGCTGTATATATGTCTGGAAAATGGCATATAAAAAAAAAGAAAGAAAGAAGGAAATATTCAGTATTGTACAGTATTTTTATAGTCCAGAAAGTAATTTGTTAGCTCTTGGACTTCTTGTTAACTTTTTGCACATAGGCAACTGCAGGATGTAGCCTTTTGCTCTCTATTGAGCAGTGAGTTAACGGTTAAGAAATAACCAAAGGACAAATATTTCCCTTCTCTTACTCTCTCATTCCCACTTTTATTTGGAGAAGGAAAGAAGACTGTGCACATCCCCTGGATGTGCTTGTTTTAGTATCTCATTTTCAATTGTATGTATTGAGGTTCCAGTGATAAAGCTGTACTGCATGAAGAGGAGTCCTGCATTACAGCCAAATGCATTCTTATATCCTGGGAGAAGCCCAAATGGTATTTTCCAGTGAAGTTTATTACTGGAAACCAAGACTCATCATTTGTGGCATTTATGGACAGCTTCAAATCTGTTCTATTAATAACAGGTGAATACAATGAATACAGTGCAAAACTTTTTTTTTTTTAGCAATTTTTCTTAATCCTCTTTGAAATAAAACCATTCAGCTTACAGGCAGCAATGGATAGGTTTTTTCCACATAGATACGGTTGGCACTTCTCAGTGAGTAGGTGTTTCTGGGTTTGTTGAAGGCGGTCAGGAGCTCTTTGAATCCAGAGTGGATGTTTTCAGCTTGCTCATGCTCAGGGTCCTTGGAAAGAGAAACTGTACATTTACCAGTTGCATTTTTTGTATGAAGTTTTTGAAACACGCTAAGGGATAGATGTTGGGGAGGGATTTCTGTTCCTCTCTCTTACTTTTTATCTTTCCAAATTTGCCACTGCTGCAGTTTGCAGGGCTCCATTTATGACCTGATTAACTGATTTACCATATTGCAAACCTTCCAGACTATCCCAGTGACTTATGCTTCTACGCTTTTGAGTCTGAATGAGTGAGGGGAACTGAAATTGGATGTTCTGCAAAGTATACTGGGTATACTTTAAACATAAAGAATGCTGCAAACAAGAAATAGTGGACTGTTTCCAGACATTTTAATTCTTATCTTCTGATTTCAGGTCTAATAGATACCATTCTTCTTCTTTTTGGTCTCCCCCGAGAAGGTCTGGCCACAGAGCTTACAGCTTCTACAGCTTTAGTGAAATGAAGAACCTGCAAATAGAGTTTCCAGAGGTAAGAAGTTGCCATGAAAGAATCTGCATGACCTAAAACCTAATAGAGATAAAACGGTTGTCTTGTTTGGCTCCTTATGATAACTCACTGTGCTGAGGGACACTGGAGCTGTAGTATATGTAAATCCCATACAGTAACAAGGAATAGTATTGCTTCCCTCTGTGAGCATCATCACAGTACTTTTGTCTGCACATTACAAGGCTGAACTCCCTTCCACAGCCATTGCAATCAGCAGTAGCAATGCATTTGTGCAAACCCAAATGTAGTTTTTTCCCTATGACGATGGAACAGGGCATCTCAACAGCAGTGCTGGGCAGTGTTGGGCATCATAGCTTCACAGAGCTACTTACCTTTGCCATCTCTTTTGCTGTATTGCCTTTTGCAGCCAGATATGTCAGGGCAAGAGCAGATGATATACTCCAAGGGGAAAAGAAAATGTTTTTGTCCCTATTGGTCTCATTCAGCTTGGTGAAAAGATCAACTGTAAAGTTGCCAATTGATGCTGAAACCTGTTCCATTGCTATAGCCTGGAAAGAAGCAACAGACAGAACTGTAGTATTTGAGTGTCTAAAATGATGTATGCGGTGTGTATTAGCGAGAAATGTTGCATTTGCAATGCAGTGCATAGGTACCTTTTGAAACTAATAGCCTAGTTGTATGTTATATCTTCTACACATACATGTGCCACCTGCTGGGAGCAGCAATTTCTTTTAGGTTTTTGTTATCCATCTCATATTTCCCTATAGATGTGTCCTCTTTTATAGATCTGCCCTTTTATTCATGTTTCTTTCTGCCTTTGGTTTTCAAAAGTGTGTAGATTTGTAAGCTGCATATTTTGTTCATTTTCATTCCTAACTCATTATCAAAGTAATGTTTCCAGGGAAGTTTAAGTAATTTTTGTACATAGGACATCTGAGATTTTCACTACCTCATTTTGGATCTAGATAGAATTAGGAGCTAATACTGAGAATGTATTTAGGTGTAACTCTTGGGCTTATGGAATTTTTCTGGCTAGCCACCCATTTCAGATCATATAATGTACAGCAAAGTTGTTATTTGCTTTTGGAGTGTTACCATTTTATTCACAAAGTCTAACTACATTCTCTTCTTTATATTCTGGTAATTTTATTTTCCTCAGAAACTGGCAAATATCTATGTGTGTAAGCTATGAGCATTCCAAACTTTAACTTACCTGTTCAGTAGTACCTTCTTGATGTTGTTTTCTGATAGAGAGACTGGAAAATATTGTCGTTATTATTATGTAAAGAAAGATTTATATTTATTGAATGGCACTGCAGAAATTGCAGGTCAGTCTCTGAAGTCCACAGATATTTATCGAGTTTTTGGTTACCAAACCACTTCAGTTTTTCTGGTAGTCATTATCCAGTCTACACCAAATCTGTACCACAGAGTGACATCCTCTCCTTGGAGAACCTGACCAAATGAGCATCAGGATAGAAATCTGTCTTACTCTACTCCTCTGAGTCCCTGTACTGATCATGTACAAGACAGAATGAAAATGGGCTTTGCTTCACCTAAAGTATGAGACTCCTTTATCAAACTGAATATTTTAATTAGTAAGACAACTACTGTCCTGACAAGATTTTCCTTCTTGTGATCAGTTATGCTCCCAACTATTTTCCTTAGCTCACACATTCATTTTCTATAAGGCATGACATCTAGAAAAGCATATATAAAAAAATGACTACAGTGTAACCCTGGTACATTTTAATATACTTCCACTGTCATGCAAGCTATAGATAGCCATTTAAAAACATCAGAAAAGTTATTTAAATTGGTTTAAATGCTTACCTGTGATCCCGTGAGAGAGAAGACCTGAGTCTTGTCCTGTCAGGTTCTGTGTCTGTGTGTTAAGCAGTGAATAAATTTAGAAATATAGTACTATACACTTCCCTTTCCTTCTCTCCGATGTCAACTCTGTTCCCGCCTACTCAAAGCTTCTCTCTAATGAATCCCAAAAAGATCTCATACAGTTTTGTCTTCCTTGTTGATCTTGTTACGTTCTAGTTCCTTGTTCATCTTGTTAACATTTTGGTTTTAGGCATTTCAAAGGAACAAAGTGGATCATAATCTCGTTTTAACTATTACACCACAATTGTCTACTGAGAGGACAGCAAAACAAATCACTCATTCAATGATCTTCTGGTGTTGTGAAGACAACTGGCCTGTTGTTTAAAATAAATAAATCTAGTAAAATGATTACAGAACCAGAATGCATGGTTTTGGTTTCTGAATGTAAGCAGGTATTGTAGGACTGATCCAACTTTACAGCCTTGTGAAGCCATGACTCTTGTTTCTTTAATAGAGACTGGGACAGGCTTGAGGATTGGGTCTGTGTGAACATAATGAGGTTCACAAAGGCCAAGTGTTAGGTGTTGCACTTGTGCTGAAGCAATCCCAGGTATGTGTTCGTACAAGGATAAGAACTCATTGAGAGTAGCCTTACTGAGAAGGACTTAGGGATCCTGGCAAAGAACTTAACATGAGCCAGCAGTGTGCTCCTGCAGCCTGAAAGGCCAACAGTATTCTGGGCTGCATCAAAAGAAGGGTGGCCAGCAGGGGGAGGGAGGTGATTGTCCCCCTCTGTTCTGCCCTCATGAGGCCCCATCTGGAGTGCTGTGTCCAGGCAAGAGGCAGCCGGCACAGGAAAGATGTGGACCTTTTGGAACGAGTCCAGAGCAGGGCCATGAAGATGATTAGAGAACTGGAAGACCTCTTCTATGAAGATTGGCTGAGGAAGCTGGACTTCCTCAGTCTGAAGAAGTGAAGTATCAGGGGAGACCTGATAGCAGCCTCAAGTACCTAAAAGAAGCTTATAAATAAGGAGTGAAATCAACTTTCTGCATGGGTAGATAGTGATAGGACAAGGGGGAATGGTTTTAAACTAAAAGAAGGTAGACTTAGCTTAGATGTCAGGGAAAGTTTTCACTGAGAAGGTGGTGAGATGCTGGAACAGGCTACCCAGAGAAGCTGTGGATGCCCCATCCTTGGCGATGTTCAGGGCCAGGTTGGATGGGGCCCTGGGCAGCCTGATCTAATGCCTGATTTAGTGGTTGGCAGGAGTCTTGGAACTAGATGATCTTTGAGGTTCCTTCTAACCCGAGGCATTCTATGATTCTATGAATAAGATGTATCAGCGTAAAATGTCAAGAGCTTATTGACTGAATTAGAATCTGACAGTCAAGCTTCAGAGTGAAGATCATTGGGAGTATAGGCATAGGCAAAGCAAGGCTGAACACCTTGCTTCTTGTGTTGGTGAAAGAATCTCACTGCATCCATAGCTGGGAAACACTTCAGAGAAACACTGCAAAATACTGAGTTAGTGCACAGTACTTGCATGCCATGGAAGAGGGCAAGAACTGAAACAGCCCCACTGGCAGAGCTTGAGCAAGGAGGGAGTGAAAAAAATACAGCAGGGATAAATAAATAGAATAGTTGTCACTCTGCTGTCCCAGAAGACAGCAGAGCTGCTCTTGAGTGGGTAAGAGAAGGGGAAGGTAGTGGCAACATCTGTAAGAGTCTAGGGGACAGGGAAGGAAAGAGGAGGGAGGGAAGGAAACTGTATGGTGTGCCAAGCATTTTGCTGTAAGTCTGATTACAGGAACAGAGTGGGTCAAGTCTTCTGAAAAGTTATAGAAATCAGTGTTATGCAAGGCAATGAAGAAATGCCAGAAATTAAACAAGCGGTGACTTTAGTACAATGAGAAGGGTTATAAAAAAAATCAGGGTAGAAGAAAGGTCCACTGAATGACTGATCAGTGGGAAAGGCCAAGCTAGAGAGATTCCAAATCCCAAAGAAATATGCTGAGAGCAAGCAAGCAAGCTAACTGCGCCTGTTATTCAAGCTGCACAGGTGCCAGAGAGGATGAGAAATTGAGTGGTAAGGTAGAATGGATATTGACAGAAATAAGACAGAAGCTGGTTTATAGTCCAGTGCATGCCTGGAACAGGCCCACAGGTAAATTAGGTCAGCTACAGCCCTTTCCTGAATGGGAAATCCTCAATTTTTCTAGGCAATCTACCCCAGTACTGTGCTACTTAACATGAGAAAACGTTGTTCCTCAATGCAAGATTCACCCTCTAATTTGGTTGCCATTGGCCTTTGGTAATGATCCAGCATTACCAAGAGGATATTCACTCTTTCATCTTTGCAACTATGCTTAAAATAGAAAAGGTGGATGACATTTGTTTCTGAGTTTGGTTGCGCATTGTTGGGGTTTTGTTTCTTTTTGGCCTCCCAGACATGGCTTTTATGTCTTTATTCCTGAGAAACATCGGGTAGTGCTTGAGTGACTTTTCCATTGGGACATGAAGCCATTCTGTTTAGGTGAAGCAGGACATGTCAGAAATGCCCTATGTTCCCATTTGGGAAGCAGAGCCAAAAGGGAGCCTGGCCACATGGAATAATACAGAAAAGACTCACTATCAGTCAACACTCCTCTCTCTGCCAGGAAAAAGGTATCCTATCTTCCTGGGAAGGGATATTTATAGTCAGATGCTCTCAGTGTGTGCAAGTGCTGTTAAGAGACCCAGTCCTTTCCTCCCCGTTCTGTATTCAGAGAAATAGGGGCATCACTTGTGTTCTTAGATGTGCATGACTGATTGGGAATTCCCCCTCCTTAGGAGTAAGAGCTGTGAAAGCAGTGAAGATGTAGGGGAGAATTTGCATGTAATCTTTCAGACAGCACTTAGGTAGTTAACATTACAGACTTGATTCTCCCACTTGGTCTTGCATCCAAGCAGCAAAATAAGTGGCAGAGTAAAGGAGAGTAAAGCAGTGCAGTGCTGGGCTGCAACAGTGTTGAATGAATTAAAGGTTATGACAAAAGAGAGCATTTCAAGGTATGTGTTTTATTTTACTCTGGTTCTGTATTTTTTGGTATTTGCCAATTTATGAGGGGCAGAGATTAGAAAGTACGTGTGTTAGCTCCTTTGTGTTGCAAGAGCAAACCAACAGTACCAGAAACACAGAGGATTTTGCAGCTTTGATTCATTACCAGCCATGCTGTGTTGTGAAGCTGATTTAAAACTGACAAGGCTGTGATAGAGGTGACCTGGGACAGTTGGCTTTGAAGAGATGTGACAACTTTATGCAGGAATGAGTTTCTCCTGTTTCTTTTCGTCTTATGTGCAAAAGGAAGTGTATCGGGAAGTACTCTATTAGATCAGCCTTGTCTGTTCTGCATTGTAGCAGTTCTGGTTTGGAAAGCACTGAAAAGACAGATCCATGTTGTTCAGTTTGCAGTTTGGTGTTTTATAGTGCTGTATATAATGCGAGGATTCTTTGTAAAGGAAAATGAATCAGAGGTTTGAATTCATGTTATTTTTAATATGAGCTCTCTTCTAGCAGAGATTGTCAATAGTACAGGAAAATGGTAAAGTGCACGGTCTGTCGAGGTGTTCATGGCATACATTGTGTTCATCGTTGTTGTAAGGGCTTGTTAATTAATAGTTGATTTTCTAGGGGGAGCAGAACCTTCCAAAGAAAAGGATGCACTTGGTCTTGTTGTGTCTGATAATGAAGAGAAAAGGGTGATCTGCTACAAAAAAAACTGTAGCACCGAGACTTCGTGATGCTAGAGATGCTGAACTGGCAGCCGCTGCCTCTGTGCCTTCTTCATTGACTTCCACATAACACTTGTGAAAAACTTGTGACAAAAACAGGTCAGCATTCTCTGACATTCCCCTGAAATCGGCTTGACCTTCTGTGAAAGCGTCTTTTATCCCCATCTTGCTCAAAGTAGATTTCAGGTCATATTTCTCTTCTATGGTGAACCTGGGAAGATACACTTCCATTTTCATTTTCTCCATTAATTCTGGACTGGTCCATGCAGACAATTTTTCAAAAGTCAATTCATTTATTAGCTGCAGTTAATTGAAAAGAGAACCAGAAAATTACACATGTATTCAAAAAACTGTTCCCTAAGGGTTATTTCTTCTATATTCTTATTTAAGAACTTTTGTAATTTTGTAGCTTTTTTTTGTAGCAAAAAAATTGTACTTTTCAAGTACAAAAACCAGTAGTGAAATGCCAACTATGAAATATTTTCTACTAGGAAGGGGTGTTTTGCTATACAGTACGTCAATGCAGTATTTGAACTGTTCTCAGTAATCATCAGGGAATATAGAGGGGTTAAATATTTGTAAAACAACAGCACCATCAAGTAACAATAGTCTATTTGACTTGGTGCTTACATTTCTGTTTTCTGTATGTCTGAGAATTTAGTGAAAATAACTTTTTTTTCTACAAAATATCCACTAATATAAATGAGGATTTCATAATAGTTTACTATCTGAAGTCAGGTTCAGTGTGTTTACAGAAGGTGGCAGTGTACATGTATATTAGCTTTGAACATCATAGAAAGTAGTGCAGGGTATCTAGCTTTTGCTTTTGTTTTTAATGTAATACTATCTGTCTGAATCAGTACAGACAGTCAACACAACTGTCTTTCTGTCCTCATTGTTCTTCAGCTGGAGTTAGAGCCAGTCTTGTTGGGTTTGGGCTACTTATTTCCAGCACTGATCAATGCTAGAAAGCACAGAAGTGCCACCTGCCAGGAGCTAAAAAGAAAACTAAACAAAACATTCAAGAGGTTCAATTTCATAACATTCGGGCAAGTTTGGAGTTTGTTTTTCCTTGAACCTCATCTGTACCTTCCTTCCTAGATACAAGACTGCAACCTAATGTTTTACCATGGATATACATAAAAACATTCTTGTTTCTCACACAATTTGAGCTTACAGTTACCCTTTACCTTTTGTAGGCCAGTGATATCCCGTGGCAGCAGGATGAACATACTGAGGTCATTATTGACATATGGAAGCTCAAGAACATCAGTCTGGACTGATTCTACGTAGGTCCAATTAAATTTATCACTCAGGTGCATCATTGGCACTGGTTTAGTTGTATGCTGCAACACAAAATGAAAAGCTTGCTAGTTATACCCAGAATAGTAGAAGACTACATTGAATAGCATGGTGAATGTACATCCTTGTGGCTCTAAGAGAAGCTGTAGGATATACAGAGGGCCCCTCTCTTCTGGGAATGCACTTGGAGGCTAAGAAGGCTATCTTAGCCAGTTAGGATGACACATATTTACTGGAAGCTCTGTTCCACTCTGATTCATTGTATGGTTAAAAATGAAAATGTATAGAACTAGTTCATACAGTTTTATTCACATCTATGTTTTTCCTGCTTTAAGAGGTGTGTGGAAGTTTGTTTCAAGCTGGCTTCTGTTAATTTTATTTGTGCCTTGGGTGCTAGCATTTGTGTGCAATCTACGTGCTGAAGATGTGCTAAGAAGGATATAACATATGTTTTAAATATTCTAATTTTAGTGCTTTGTGGACTTAAAGAATGACAGGAG